TGTGTGTGTACGTGTGTGACGGGTTATAGGCAGGGGGCAGTCCAGAAACATTCACAGTTGTACCGTACAATGCTACGACTTCCATGTCCCCAGCCTTCACCAATGTGCACAGCATGATGAAGTTTAGCCAACTAACTTCCACGACTCACATGACATGGGGGGGGGGGGCTCATCCAGCAGTAGATTGACAAGAATTAAAGCATTACTGAGTGTGCGCGTGTGTCGGTACGGTTACACGTGCGAACGCGTGTTCAGCGTGAGCGTGACACACGTGCACCTCCGATTGGCACGGTTGACCACGTACGGTGCGAAAGAAGTTTCAACGTACATACGAGTCGTCACCTACGCGCGCAAACAAAGCCACAGGTCGTCGCAGCAAGAGTCCGAGCGATTTGATGTTCCAACACAAACCCTCGCTGACATCCCTCATGCACTGTTGCCCGTGGCTACCACGACAATATCCACGTCTGCCCATCGTATCCCTCGCCGTGGGCCACAAACAAAACCAAAAACCCCACGCGTCTAACCACTTGCGGTGATGGTGCGACTCACGTGAACGACCCCTCTGGAGAAGAAGCCGCGATGAGCTCGATCCGAGGCGGCACCTGGGGCCGCACGAGGTCCCCCGCCCCCCTCCCCGGAGTTTGACAACAGCTGTCGACTTTGACGAGAGCTGTTGAGTTTGACAACAACAGCTTTTGACTTTGACGATGGTTGTCAAGTTGACAGTGTTGAGTTTGACGAGAGCTGTCGAGTTTGACGATGACAGCTGTCGAGTTTGACGGCTGTTGAGTTTGACGATGACAGCTGTCGACACGTGCTGTAACCCCGCGCTGTTTGCCCGACGCCGTTACTCGGCCCAGGAGCGCAACTCCCGCGCTTCGTATTCCATGAAGAGAGGAGGGACCCGCAGAGCCACAGAGTAGGCGAGGAGCGCTGCCGCGTGACGCCGAGTTTCCTCTCCGCATGACGCGCAGAGATTTCCATCGCCCCCCCCATTCACCCCCCTCCCTCCCCCCCTCTCGGGTCCCACAATCTCCTCCCAGGTCGGCTGGGCTGATTGTTTCAGTCGTCCAGCGAGGCAAACAGGGTTCAATGGTATAGAGCAGAGAAACACGTTCCTGCGGAGGGAGCTGGTAGGAACGTTGGGTTGCTCGGTCAATGGCCAGGGTCAACGGCGGCGTGGTGTATTCCGCAAATATGCCCGACTGTGAGGGCGGGCACAAGCCGGCGTGAGTAGGTTAAACGTTGAGTTTCATTAGGGCACCACGGGGTGACCAGCCCCTCCCCACCCAGCCCCTCCCTGCACGACGGACGGACGGACACAATAATCCCCTGTGGGCTGGTGTAACCAGGAGGTTCCTACCAGTATGAGAATATGTATTCATACTGGAGGAATCCTATGAGCTCTCAAGAACTTTTCGTTCCTTCGCATAGATGTCCCAGTCGTGGCGGGTTAAGAACGTTGCAACAACAAACAATACAACAACAACAAGACACGGCAGTAGTGCCAAGTGCAAGGAAGTAAACAAATCGCCCAAACACACACAAATAAAACTCAACCATCCCCATCCCACCAGGCAAAGCGCACTGAAGTTTTAACTTGTTTTTCAGAAGCGACCTGGCTATCAAAAATGATAGCTCAACCAAGTGGACCATCACGTGACAAATTATAGCAGCAAAATAATCGAATTAAGAGTCGGGGGAGGTGGGGCAAATGCTGTTTTTTTTACCAAACAGATAAAGTATACAATCGCACCATCAAAATAAACAAATGAAGAGTACTACTAACAACAACATTGGAATTGCAGGATGCATGCCATAGAAATTAAAATTGCAATCATCAGCCACGATCAAGTGACTGCTGGATGAAGGACTCCCCGAGACCCCACGTCTCATCATCATCCTGCAAAATAATAAACCATCTTGTTATACCGTTCTGGCCCGCTCCTCTGTGAAAAGAGCTTTAGAGCTCATCGGATTCCTACTGCAGTATAAATAATCTGATTCTGATCTTAACACCTCAAATCGAGGTGAATAAATTGTTCCATCCCCCTTTGGTGGACATCTCAGACTCTTCACCATCCTTCTTTCCTGCCACGTGCACGTCCCAAACACATTCACTCTTCCGAACAGTTTGAATTTACTGGCGTAATCATTTACCTGTGCGTGTTATCTAATCCACAAGTGCAATGTGTGAAATCATGATGATGCTAAACTCACTGTCATACGATAGCAGAGGAAGCTCACGGGATATGCCTGCGTGGAGCATGCGACGAGGGGCTAGACTGGCGTCAGTGTTACTTTGTTATCCCGCCGGTGCAACATCTCCCCACTCTGTCATGAACCAGGACTCCACAACGATATATTTTTGCCATGTTCAGCAAGAATGCATGCATTCAATTGGAGTAAGACGGGAATTGTGTCTTCGACTGAATTGGTGATTGGTGTAATGGAAATTGAAATTCTTAAGAAGGGAAAAAGTTCGACTTTTATGTTGACATCTGACAGTTTCGTCTGAGCCATTCTGCGTTCAACCCCCCAAGCAAGTTGCACGTTGCTTTCTGCTTCTTTCCATTGCTCCAGTCTCTTAACACCAAAAAACTCTTCTAACTTTGCTCAATTCGAGAAACACGTTCAGCCTTATCTCTTACAACGTCGACAGCGTTGCTTGTTGCTGGCTGCTTGCCGGTTTTTTAAGTCTGTGCTCAGCTGATGTGTTTAAAATATACGCGTACCGTGCGTGATGTTGCTGTTCTGTCCCCCGCTGTTGGTCCCATGCATTACTGGTAGCACAGCGCCACCACAAAGTCTACAAACAGCCTTCACATGACTACAATACCGTCGGTTTAAGCCGTTCAATATGCAAAAAACTCGTTTCTTGGAACTGCTTTTCGTGTGCGTGGTTTGTTGTCCTTCCCCCGCACCACCGATTGGCACGATTGGCTACGTACGGTGCGAAAGAGGTTCAACACATACACACATACAAACTTAAATCCTGAACTGGGTCAAACAAAAAAAACTTGCCAAGTCTGAAACTATCTTATCGGAGGCTGCTGCTGCTGCCTGGGTTGTTGCACCGAACCCGTGTTGAAACCATTTCCTATGCGCACACTGCTGAGCGAGAGCTTTGTTTCTCTTGGCGTGTCGTGATCTCAGAAGGGGCCTTGACTTGGCACGACGAGGCCACCTTACCCCCCCCCCCCCCCGGCAGGCGTTCAGGAAGAGGAAATCTGGGGCGGTGATTTCACTCCTGACGAGCCCTCCACACTCGTTTCACGAGCGGCACGCGGCCGCTTTGCCAAACGTGGTGCACGCGCACAGGAATAACAGCATCGACTTGCACATGGCAAACGATTCCTGCAAAAACAACAACAACAAATCAACACGTAGTAGGAGGCTTTGGCGAGCAGTATATATAGGTGTTTTTTTGGGTTAGATCGCGTAAATATATGAGTGTGTCGTTAAACCCGCCACCACCCGACACAGCCAACTAGTAAGGGTTGTCACGTAAACAGAACAGCACACCGGTGTGTAGGAGAGCCAAGCCACAACATTTACAATCTGAGTACGACGTTCCGCAGTAATTACAACCAGCTTCATCAGGCGACAGCCAGATTTATGGCTGATTGAAACTGATTGAAAACTCGTTTCTTTAGAACTGCTTGTTGTTGTGTTTAGTTTGTTGTCCTTCCTCCGCACCTCCGATTAGCGCGGTTGGCTACGTACGGCGCGAAAGAAGTTCACCGTACGTTCAATACGTACATACACGGGTTAAACTTAACCCTGCCCGTGCCAGCTAGAGATGGCAAGGAATCGCTGACAACGTCCGTCACGTTTCCCTTGCACGGACTCAAAACACGAGAACCGAGTCTCAGTTGGCCGTCACCTGGGTTCAACAAGCGTCGCTGAGCGATTGGCACTGCGTGCGAGCCTCGCTGCTGTTCCAGTGGCGAGCAAGTGCCGGACACACATTTCCATCCCACCTCCACGAGTCGCGACGACCTGCACCGAGATCGCATATCGGGCCCAACGCGTCGAGAGCTGATCCAGAACAATTGTCGGCTTTCCACAACCAGAGCAACGACAATGCATGATGTACATCAACAGAGATCTTCTTGTGCGTCTTCAATGGGCCACCGCTCATTTTGTGTGCACCGACCGGAGAAAGTGGCGTGGCAGTCGAGGTGGAGGTCGTACCGTCGTTCGCACCGTACGGCGAGCCACGCGCGCTCATCGGAGGCGCGAAACAAGTTCCACGTGCATCACATCCGTACGGTGGCAACCGCCTTGCATGTGACTCCCACGTTAGTATTTCTCCGTTTGGTGCTAACGGTGGAGAGGTGGTCGTCGTAGGCCACGGTCATTCCACTGCTGGATGAAAGGCCTCTCAAAGCTGCTGCTGCTGCTGCTGCTGTTTCTTGTCTTAATTCTGCGACATACGTAGCTTGGGGGTGGAGGTGGAGTGGCGTGGAAACAAGTGGAAGCATGCGGCCACTGCTGCGCCTGCGACGTGATGTGAGATTTCCTTTCTGGAGGATTTCGATCTGGGGGGGGTGTTAGTATCAGGCTCCAGAGCACGTGGCGTTGTAACCGACATGCCTGCTGCTGATTAACAGGAGGAAAACTTTGAAACAATATTTTTTTCTTCCAATTCTATCCAGATTTCGCTATTGGCGTCACGCCATGAGACAAAACAATTCCAATCGCAGAGAAGTACAATCCCCGTCGTGTTATAGGGAACAACCTTCGGAAGTGGATAATGCAGAGCTAATTCTAAAATCTTTCGAGGTCACATCTGGTCCACAAAGTGGGGGGAGTGGGAAGCACTTTCCCATGCGCTCCACATTTGAGAATAATATTTGTCGCGTTACAATCACACTGCTATTTTAATTCTCAGAAATAGAATTTAGCTAAATTGAGTACAAAACAAATGTCAATGATGGTGTTTTTGACGTACAATTATCATCGGTGACTGGGACGGAACCCATCCATCACGAATGATCGCCCGCAGTAAACCGGACGACTCAGCCTTGCCTGTCCCAGCCCTCTCACCTCAAATCCGCCAGGCCCTCGGCCAAGACCACTTCCAGGGGACGGCTTTTAATCGGATGGAGGTGGCGGCCACAGTGTAGGAGGACCATATGTGCTACTCGCTACTAACAGCACTTTCCCCAACAATCTGTTCGGGCTATTCGGGGGATCTTTGTCTTTGTAGGCGGGCCACTTGCCTGGACTCCACCGCCGCTGCCACATGACCCACCTAGGGCATCGGTGAAACA